AATAATATGTTTGAATTTAAAAAAATGAAAAGGAAGGGAGGGCAAAAGTTTCTTTATTTAGTTATCAAAATAATTGAAGGAAAGAGAAAGAAATTTTTTTCCTTATTTTATTTTATTTATTTATTTATCGAAACAAAAAGAGGGTGAAGAGAAGATTTTCCTCATTTTATTTATTTACTTTTTTAAATAAAAGGAAGGGAGAAGAGAAATTTTCCTCTAATTTTATTTTTTTAACTTATTTACTTATCCAAAAAAAAAAAAAAAAATTGTATTGTTCCATTTTCTTCCATTCTCTTACCCTCTCTTTTCCTCAATTTAAAGATACAATAAATATGAACAAATCCTGATTTTCACTTTTTTTTTTTTTAATATATCAGCCTTCTATATTTTCTTTTATTATTTTTTTAAAAAAGAATATTTTCCATAAAAATTCAACAAGCTGTAAAGCTCAAATAGTTGACTATCATGAAATTCAAACAAAGAGCTTTTGTCAGTCTGGCATAGAAGCACTAACGCAATTTTTTTAAAAGGAAGACATTGTTGCTTGCTCATTGACTTGTTCATTTGATCTACTACTAAAAATCTGGTAAAAAAAAAAAAATCTACTACTAAGATCAGCTTAAGTACTGCTGCCTTCATTCAGAATTAGTTGTCCCTTTTAACTTTCCCCATGAAGTTTTAAGTTATGTTTCTATATTAGAGATGCAGTATGGATTTTATCCATTTCACAATTTAAACTTAAAATTATTAGTTATTTTTTAATTTATTTCACTCAAATGTTTTAAGAGTTAAACTTGAAAACTCATATTATTATATAAAAATAATTACTACTCAAGATATGTGGTGAATAATTTATATTTTTTTATATAAAATAATAAATTATATAATTAAAAATAATTTTTTTTCCTTTCTCTTCATTCACCTTAAATTTTTAATTTTTAATATAAACTTTCAAATTTTTAATTATTTAAAACAATCAGAATGCAAGCCTTAGCGGCATTCATACAATATTTGTTGTTAACGACGAAGTGAGAATGTTTGATTCAAAGATAAACTAAAACAACAAATTTGCAATTGTTGAATAGTTGCCTTTGAAGACTGGGTGGATGTGTTCCGAAAAAGTCTAAAATAACTGCAGCCTCTAAAGTCAATTCCAAAATTTAATTAAAGGCCCTCTGAGTTTTAGAGTCAGCAGTCAGCTTCTGCTGCTATCTCCCATGGAAAATGGCATCATAAGCTCTCAAGTCCCCTAAAAGGGTCCAAAAATGACAGCCAACTTCTAAATAACAGAAGTCATCTCATTTATTTCCAGGATGAATATATTGACATAATACCGAACGGAACACCTTTTCCTTGCCTGTTTTCCAAGAGTCCCAGGAAGGAGTTAATAGGCTTATTGGGAAAGGGAGATTTGTTATTATCACTATAGTAACTTTTTGTACAAAAGTATTGTGAAATATTTTTTCATAAATTTTTGAAAATTATTAATTTTTTAAAATAATATTTAAAAATATTAATTTGTTAACTAATTTTAATTTTAATTTATTAATTAATAAATATTAATTATTTTATTAATTACTAATTATTAATTATAGTTATTAATTATTTTTATCAATTAAATTAAATAAAATTAATATTTGTAAAGATTATTTTACAAATTTTGATAATTTTAAGATTCCAATAGGTGATAACCTTACCCCCTCTACAGTCAGCGGCGGAGCCGGGGTGGGAAAAATTATTTAACCCTCCTTGAACTTTAAAAATTTTAATATTTTACCCCCTTGAAAAAAATTTCTGCCTCCGCCCCTGTCTACAGTCATCACATTTATTTCAGTGTAATGATATGAGTACATATTTTTCATAATTTTTTATATTACCTTTATATATTATTT